GTAGGTTTGACTCACAGTTTAACCAGAAAATTGTTCAAAACATTGGGAATAAATTGAATCAAACAAAAACAGAGTGTTACCCCAATCCAGTTGGTATACATTATGAAGTGAGAAACATTAACTTATGGTTACAAGATGGCTCAACTGATGTTGGCTTATTTCTGTTCTATGGAATGGGTCGAATGGGGAAGACAACCATTGCCAAACCTGTTTACAACCTAAACTTTGACAAATTCGTTTGATTCAACCCAACGGTTTGATTCGTTTACAAAATAAAAATTGTTTCAAAAAGCCTCTGCATCAAATAAAAAAAACCAAAAAAAAACCCCCTAAATGTAGAACAAAAATCATAAACCATTTACTCGTTTCCCATAAATGAAACTCATAAATCAAACTCAAACAAGGAAACAGAAGAAGGAAGAAAGAAAGACGAAGAGAGAGAGAGAGAGAGAGAGAGAGAGAAACCTAAATCAAATTGAATGGGTGTCAGACGATGTACCTGTGGTGGTTCGGGGGCTCTGAGCAACGGTGGCCGATGGTTAGTTGATGAGAAGAGATGATCGATGGGCTGTCGACGAGAGTGAGAGCAAGAGAGTGGGATGTTTCCTTTGGTGTATTCAACACATACAGAGAAACAAAAAAATAAATAAACAAAAGGAAACATAGAAAATAAGCGTACTATTTAATCTACCCACCAAAATTTTTTGGTTTTATTAGCGAAAAATCGATTTAGTCACCAAAACCAAAACTAACGCCGACTAAAATGTTCATTAGTCGTCTATTATGTCAGTTTTAGCGACTAATATATTTTTTAGTCGCCAATAAGTAATTTACAGTGACTAAAAAAATTTAGTAGCTAATTTTTGAACCAATGGCGACCAATACCAATTTTAGTCGCCAAAGGTATGGGTTTTGGCGACTAAATTAATTTTAGTCGCTAAAATTGGTCGCTAAAAATGCGAATTCTTGTAGTGAACTAACATTTGCCGATCAAAAAAAAAAAAAAAATTTGTGGTAATATCATCCCCATGCTCAAACCTATTTGTCTATCCCACACACCGTACACGAATTGTAAAAATACACAATTATACATTGCAGTGTATGTCCTTTGTATGAAGTTTCGGGTCTTGGCATCCCAACATTGATTCATGTCTAAATCATGCTTCATAGGCTACAAACATTAAAATGCTACAATTGTACTAAAATAGGCATATCAATTTATGGTGAAAGAAAGTCACGACTTATTGCATTTTTGAAAATGTGGAGGAGAGGTATTAAACATAACAAGGAAGGGCAAGAAGAGTATGAAGTTGCCACCAAACAAAAAAGTAATTGTGAATGTGGGAAGGCAGGATGCCAAGTAACATTTCCAAGAACATGTGTCCAACTCGATTTCTTCAATCAAACATAATTCAAACTTTAGGGTTCAGTGTTTGATTCTCCACCATGTTGTATCACATGTTAGAGGCAGTTGAAGTTCGAGAAGCAATGCGAGGTTATGATCAACTCCTTGAACTGCTAGAAACGCTTCATCGTTATGGTAGGAATTAAAACTGGGAAAATGGTTGTTGGAAAGTGACCATATTATGATAAATGCAATAACCCGACCCTCTATATGCTTTCTGATATACTTTATGTCCCCTATTATGTGTATTTATCTGGTTAATGTGGAATTTCATGTGAAATTAAATATAATTGTGTGAATGATATGGTTAGGGAATTATATCTGTTAATCAAGAGAAAAATCTATTACAATTATGACATTTGGATCATAAATTGAAAGCCTTGGAGGCTTAATAATCCGAAATTGACTTTATCATTGTGATGAGCATAATTTTTAGTCCTTAATACGAATTTTTGTAAAAATCTGATTTGGAATGATTAAACTGATTAAGTTTTGTCCTTTTGTGTTAACCGTTATTTATCTCCTTCAAACTTTAACTTGGTAAGTCTATCTTATAAGTCAAAAATATCTCATGAGAGAGTGTAGAGAAGTTGAGAGAAAGAACTAGGAGGGAAGAAGATCAACAAGGAAGAAGGTTGGGAAATTGAGAAGGATTGTAGAGATTAAGGCTCAAGGTATGCATAATCCACCTTAAATGACCTCTTTCTTGGACTTATGTAAGAATTCCCTTTCCTTTGTGAGAGCTAGGGTTTGTAATTAAAGACATGTGTATGGTTACGTGCTTAATTGGAGGGTTGTTCTTATCATTTGGTTGTTTTGGGAATTAATTTGAATTATATAAAGGAATTACATTTTATTCTTTGATTTTCATGTTGAACTCACATGCTCATACATGTATATTGCTCATGTATCAAATATAGCCATAATCATAAAAGAGCTTGGTTTGTATGGGTGAATTCGGAAAGGATTATGATCTAATTAAGCTTGTAATCGTGTTTATTGTAATCTGATAAGTTGTGATTCATGTTATGAAGATGTTATGTAATCTATTGAATTAATTCTCCTTGTTTTTCTCTTGGTAAAGTGTTGGTTCTACTGAAATTTTGCCTAAATTCGGACTGCCCAAAATAGGGGCTGCGACCACACGTGTGGGGCTCATGGCCGCACGTGCGGGGCTCACAGCCGCACGTATGGGAAACAGGGGAATCCGAAGTTTGGCTACTGGAATAAAAGCACGTGTGGGGCGCACGTGCGTCCCATGTGGAAAAATTATACATTCTTCTTTTTCTCCTGTTTGACCCTCTGGGGTGGTTAAAATGTGTATTTGAAGCTTTTAAAATGTTTGGAAATTGAATGGAAGTTAAACGAATCGAATGTTGATTAAAGGGGAATTGGACTAATGTTTGAATTACATGTGCGTGTAGGTTCCATCGCATAAGGAACTATCGCTCCGCCACAGCACTGTGAGTAATAGTACTATAGTGATACATTTCGTTTATGGTTAATAGCGATTATTAACGTTCTGTTATTTTAACGTTTTGTTATTCGCACTATGTTGACTCAGAAGGAACAATTGAAAATATATGTGTGTTAATGAACAATGATATTCTTGTGGGCCCGAGGCCGTTTAGTTAACCACCACTTAATGTAGACACCTCTGGAAATAAGGGAGGTGATGACATGCCGATGTCTCATCGACCCTAATTTGATTTTGATCAATTATAATTCATGGCCAGAGGCCGAGGGAAGTAGTGTGCATGTCGATGTCCTACTTACCCTCCAAAGTATGGCAGCTGTCGAGATGTGGGCCCGAGGCCATTCTGTATGATATGTGGGCCCAAGGCCGTTCTGTAAAATACGTTGGGCCTAAGGCCGTTCTGTATGAGATTGGGCCTGAGGCCGTTTCATAACTGTTGGGCCTAAGGCCATTTTGGGAAAACAAGATCAAATATCTAATCTATACGTTTATGTACACTATAATTCATAAAGGTTCACCTGAAACCTCTTACATACTATTATTCACTGAGCCATGCTCACTCCGTGTTATGTCTGTCTCTGTAGGTAATTAACTCGATGGTCCGTTAGCCCAGCTTTGGCAGCTTTTCTTTGTCAACCCCGCTGTGTCCAAGCTGTTAGATGAAGCCGATTCACTCCTATGAAGCTCTTTGCATAACTCAAAGCATTGGCTGTTAGCCTTTTTGTCAACTGTCATCAGTTGTATACATCCTTCTCTATCGATGCTTTTGTTGTACCCTATATTGCGGGGGTGGGATTGTATATATGTATGTGTATAACTATCTCCTATGTGTATGCCCATTTTGCATTGGACTATATGATGAATGCTTTACGATCCTGGCATGTAGGCTTAAGCTCAATGGATGTTGTTTTACATTAACAATTGCTTCCGTTCAGGCCCCATAATGTATATTTATTGAATTTTGAGTCCGTTTTCGAATTTGTCATGCCCAAATTTTTAGGGGCGAGTTCGGGGCGTGACAAGTCGTGCCTACGTTTCGAATATACTCATCTTCTTGACGATGATATTGGGCTTGTAGCCACAATACATCATTATTATCCGGGCCATTGATTTACTAGAATTGGATATTGTAATTACATGATATGAGATTAGTAGTGGGTTCGAAATCCTAAGTCTCTCTTCAAATTCAGATTACTCTTTGTATTTGTGTAATTGTTTTAATTTTAATTTAAATTCTCATTAGCAAAAACCAAATCATCCTCTCTTCTTCACATTAAATTAAAAATTACCACTCGGATTAATATCACTCAGCCTAAAGTCCTCGTGGTACAATACCTAGACAATCCACTATTCTACTCAATTAGTGCTTTGTTTTGTTCTTTATTTTTGATTGAAAAATGACCGATCAACTTTTGGCGCCGTTGCCGGGGACTTTGGCGTGGTTGTTTAATTTGATAGTAGTTTTTATTTTAATTTATAATTTAGGATTTTAGTTTATTTTTATTCTTGGTTTACTACTCTCTCTTGCTGGTGTCTACTTGTGCAGGGTTTTCTCATGTCTTCACAGCCATTAAATAGCTCCAAGCGCTATAGAAAAAAATTGCAAAAGGCAACCTGCTAAAAAAATCTAACAAGCCCATCTCGACTGCTTGCGCAATATTGTCCACCACCTAATAAGTAAAGCATTGTCGTTATCGCTCTATGAGTTTTTCTATTGCATTTTTGCAATATATTGTCTCTCTTGTGCACAAGTACTACTTTAACTTATTTGGTGTCAGTTTATGTTTAGGCGTTGGTCTTGTCTTCCTGATTTAACTCTACTACCTTGAGATTAAGCACGCAGTTCGGATCCTCTAACAAAGTTATGAGTCCAATAGAATTGTTGACCTTGCTCCACTAATGGATCCAATGGAGGATCAGGCTCAAACCGTACAAGTAAGGGAGCACTTCCCTCCCACAGCATATGCTTCACCAACTTGCATTACGCCGCCCATTATGAAATCAAGCCCAGCACCATTAAGATGCTCCCACCTTTTCACGAACTTGGTCATGATGACCCATACCGCCATTTAGATGAGTTTCTGGAGATTTGCTCCATTGTGAAACTCTAACAATTCATAGACGAGGCCCTTAAGGTTGAGGTTATTCCCTTTTTCATTTAAGGATAAGACCAAATATTGGTTGAATTCGTTAGAACCAAATTCCATCACAACCTGGGCCCAACTACAATAGAAATTTCTAAAGAAATATTTTCCCACAGGTAAGACTAATCAAATCAGGCAAGCCATCACTAATATTTCCTAACTTGATGGTGAGCAATTTCATGAGACATGGGAACGATTTAAAGACCTACTTAGGGAATGTGCCCAATCATCAAGTATCCAAGTGGCAATTAGTCCAGACTTTCTATGATGGTTTAACTGATCACAACCGCCAAACAATAGATGCCTCTTGTGGTGGGACATTCATGTCCAAGAGTGATGATAATGCATGGACATTATTTACAAACCTTTGTGAGAATTCTCTCCAACATGCATTTATATCTAGATTTGAGAGACAACCCTCTTCTAGCACCCCAAAGCGAGGGGGTGTCTATGAAGTCGGGCAAACTATTGATGTCTCTAAACAAGTAGTCGCCCTATCCCATAAACTTGACCAACTTCTTTCAGTAGGGTAATTTTCTGCACAACCCTCACAACCTCAATATTAGGAGGCTTTGTTCTCACACCACTCACCATGTTACTGAATGTCCTATGGCTTCACAGTTTCCTGAGTTAGTTGAAGACCACGTTCTTGTAACTCAAGGTTTCACCAAACTGCGTAATCATCCATATTCTAATACCTATAACCCTGGGTGGCATAATCATTCCAACTTCTCTTGGAGACCACCAACTCAGGGCAATTTTTTTGTCTCACCACCACCCCCTAGGCAGAATTTCAATAATTTTGCTAACCCACCTCCTTACCGACCACCTCCACAACAACCATCTTACCAACAACCACCTCTCCGACCTCCACGATAGTCTTCTTTTGAGGAGAAGGTACTGCAAGTCCTCTAAGGACTTGAGGGTGTGCCTTCACTCTCATTCACAGTCCATCTCCAAGCTCGAGACCCAACTTGGTTAATTAGCTAACACACTCACACAGAGGGAGGAAGGTAAGCTCCCTAGCCAACCAGTAACTAATCCCAAGGGTTAGTATAGGGTAGAGAGTTCCAATACGAGTGGTCCATACCACGAGCAAGTTTAGGCTGTGATAACTCTTAGGAATAGGAGCAAGTTAGATACTCGTTGTAGCTTGCTTTTCATGCTCCTTTCGGATACGACTAGCCCTACAGTTCAGACTCTTGTGGTTCTGAATTTGATTTCTCTAGCGCAATGTGAAACAGTGAAAACACAAAAAGAGTCCAAATCCAGCAATTTTTTTAGAAAATCGATGTTTGAATCAAATGCCAAAAATGGACTGCTTTTCCAGATTTTAGAGTCGCAACTTAAATATTTTTGAGAAATTTAGGAAACCCGAGACTCATGCCAAAGGCCACTTATCCGTCATCACCAAAGTGTCTCAGCTCGAGAACTTAGGTATGAGAAGGGAAGGTCATAAATTGAGCACCGTACTCACCTGATCAAAGATCGGCCTCTACTAATCATGATGTAGTTTTTATTTACATTATATGTTCTTGTTCTGATTTATTAGGCTATCTTACTATGTGACGCACACAAGTATAAACTAATTTGCAAAAATTGGACTATTTGATTTTGTGTTTGTTTGAAAATTGTTTTGAATATGTATCACTTGAAAAAGTGATCTCATATGTATATTCATCAAATATCTCAATTTAAGCAATTAGCCTTCATCTACAGGCATTCAAAATAGGTATATCACTCAAACACTTAGTCTCATGGAAAATATGCTTGATATAACAACAATCACACACATGTGGTATGCTAAAGCAATAATTGCTCACCTCGTACTCCAAGGCAAGCCAAAGAAACAAAAGAGTTTGGAAAAATGCATGATCCTAACTAATGCAATATGACTAATGCAACACAAACATTTATGACTAATGGGCTCGGCTACTAACATGATATTTGAAGCAATTTGATAGCATGAGGTTGTGGCTTGACTTTTCGTGCTCCTTTCGAATACGACTAACCCCATAATTCGGACTCTCGTGGTTCTGAATCTGATATCACAAAGTGCAACGTGAAAAAGTGAAAACGCAAAAGAGTCCAAATCCGGTAATTCTTTTGAAAAATCAATGTTTGAATCAAATGCCAAAAAATGGACTGCTTTGCCAAAATTCAGAGTCGCCACCTAAATATTTTTGGAAAATTTAGGAAACCTGAGACTCATTCCAAAGGTCATTAGTCTGTCATCACCAAAGTGTCTTGGCTTGAGAACTTAGGTACGAGAGAGGAAGGTCATGAATTGAGCACCCCACTCGATTGATCAAAGATTGACTTCTACTAATCATGATGTGATTCTTATTTACATTATATACTCTTGTTCTGATTATTAGACTAACATTGCTATGTGTTGCACACAAGTATAGACTAATTTGCAAAAGTTGGAACGCTTTGATTTCATGTTTGTTTGAAAAGTGTTTTTAAATACGTGTCAGTTAAAAAAAGTGAGTTTGTATGTACACTAATCAATTTATTCCAATTCAAGCAATTTGCCTTCATCCACAGGCATTCAAGCGGATATATCAATTAAGCACTTAGCCTCATAATATTGACGCTTATCATGGCAACAATCACACGCATGCGATATGCTAAAGATAAAAAATTGCTCACCTAATACTTCGAATCAAAACAAAGCAAAATGATTAGAAAATATGCATGCTCCCAACTAATGTAATATGACTAAATGCAATGCACGCATTATGTAATTTATAGGCTCGGCTATGAGCATGACATATGATTCCATTCAAGACATGCGATAAAACACGTATTCAAGCAATGAATTTGAACATTGATATTGAGTTAGTATGATGAGCCGAACCTTGGATGCATGCAAGACAATGGATGCGAATCATAAGAATGCTAACTTGAAAAATGATGTTCTATACTAATCATCGTAAGAAAATAAGTAAAAGGGAGAAAGACGTGGGATTGGAAGACATACAAGTTATTATATGATGGCCCTCACATAAGAAGGTCCGAATCAAAGTCCGAAAGTCTGAATTAAACTAATTATTACAAAACTGAATGAATAAATAAACAAAGAATTAACTAGCTAGCTACTCTATTATAACAAGGATAATAATGAGAAATAAACTAGCTATCTAAGTTAATTAGCTATAGCAATTACAAATAAACAATAATAATAATTACAACAATAATTATGTTATGTTACCATGATGTAAACATTGTATATGTTTTGGAAATGTGAATTGTATATTCAGTAATGAGCATATGTTTATCATACAAGTTATTATATGATGGCCCTCACATAAGAAGGTCCGAATCAAAGTCCGAAAGTCCGAATTAAACTAATTATTACAAAACTGAATGAATAAATAAACAAAGAATTAACTAGCTAGCTACTCTATTATAACAAGGATAATAATGAGAAATAAACTAGCTATCTAAGTTAATTAGCTATAACAATTACAAATAAACAATAATAATAATTAAAACAATAATTACAAAAAGACTAATTGTAACAATAATAATAAATTAATTACAACAGTACTCGGAGCATTAATTTACAACATTGATGTAAGCAAGGATGCATAAGGGTTGCATGTACAGTGTCCAAGAACTTCTCTGTCTGCCTAGGCCTGCTCTATTTCACCTTTAGCCACTGCCCTCTATTTCTGCAAAACACACTGCTGACCAAACATTGATGTATAGCTGGGCCCCAATGAAGCCTGGCTGGGCCTAAATAAGGCCGGTCGTGTCTTAATTTTAAGCAAAATCATATGTTGTGCTCTGAAGTGAAAACAGTGTAGACAGAGTTATTCTGAACTCAATTTGTCCCTCTCACACTTCTCTGTCATGGGAAAGCCTCAAGAAAAGGTTGGAATCATTTCCAAAACCATCAATGAGAAATTTGTTTGCTTGATGATTTCGGCCACAATTTGGATTAAATTCAATGAATGCAATGAATAACAACCATTCCTTCCTTTTATCGTGGGATAAGCTCAAAAGGGAGTAAAGACGCTTCAAGAGTCATCAAAACACCATGATTTGACGTGTGACGACTCTCGACACAATAGACTCGGCATAAAGTTCGGCCGAGTCCAAGCAATATAACTCATTTTCTTTATGTGGGTTGGTTCATTTTAAGCCAAATTCATTAGTCTTTGCCATTCTTTAACCCATTTATCGAAGATGATTGTTACGTCCACTAAAGATAATGTCCACTAAATGAGAAACATGCCAAACGGGAAGTGATTCTCAACATGAAAAAGAGACTATGCCGTTGACAATGAACCTCCGTAAAATTAAGCCATTAAACATAGATCTCTAGTTCATGTTTTGAATAACTATTAACCGATTGAAATAACTCTCAAATGAAAGACACGAATGGTAAGTTGATTATTAAAATGAGGCTCTTAAACAAGGAAATTAGACAAGGGAAAGCTAAGAACTATATGCAACAAGCTATGTATAAGGACTTATGAGACAACAAGCAAACTAATCAAAGCATGAATTAATTAAAGTACCTAGGACAGCCCTAAAACAGCCTCTAATAGGTGAAAAATAGTGGCTCAAAGTGCATGAAAAGAGCCTAAAAAGCTAAACAACAATGCAAGAAAATAAGGCTAGTAAGCAAGAATAAGGAGGGGTGGCTAACCCCTCATTAGCCTCTTTTAAACTCTGAAAATCAATTTAGAAAGGAAATGAAAAGGCTGTAAAACAAGGATTTGAGCTATAGGTGAAGATGTAAGAAAGAATGTTAACTCTCTCTACCCTTTGGCAGCTCTCCAAACCCACGCTTAGACACTTGAAGGAAGATCAAAATAATACAAAAACACAAGAACTTGATAGTAAATGATAGAAAAGAGGGTGAGAGAAGAGATAGTAAGATTATACCTCTCAAGAAAGGTAAGCTCTTT